ACCAATCTTGAGAGACGCGGATAGGAAGTCACTTCATTACTTCGTAACTACAACCGAATAAAAAAAGAAATGTAATTGTGATCCCAGATCACCATTATCCAATCAACCGATAACATCAGCAAATGCTTGATCAAATGAAAAAGCACCATCGCCATCAAATCTATCCATGAGCATGTACTTATGCCATCATCTCACTTTAAAAACGCCTCGCCAACCCTACAAATATGTACAGCATGAAATTCTAATGAGGACGTGCGTATTTACCAGAGGTTGTGACGACTATCCCACCTCAATTCGTCTGTGATAGGTGGTTCGTGCCCAGACCAACAAGCTCGAAAATGATTGGGTTCAAAGCAACAGCGAACCATGCAATGCCTATCCCGTTGGGTTAGCTAATTTATAATCCTTCAAATCACGGCATGTGTTGCGCTTCTGCCACTTATGAAGATGTGGGAGCAGAACAAGGAGGTCCGAAGATCAAAGGGGAGGAGAAGACTGAGAACAAACATACCAGCATAAACAACCAGCTTTGTAACAACTTCCACATCGTACCTCACCCGGGGCCTTTCAATGCGAGAAAATACCAAGTTCTCGTCAATTTCATTTTCACTCTCCTCAGGCACTGTTGGAGACGTGGGTGAGGTAGGCAACGCGGGGGACTTTGGTGAGGTGGGTAAGATGGGAGAAAAGGGCGAGTCCAATTCACCCATCATTCTCTCATAATCGCGAATAGAGGAATGGTGTGTGCCAGACGCATGTGTGGCTTTTCCATCCTCGTTCTTAGACGCCAGGTCGGAAACGCTCGACTTGTTGCGCAAGCTGGAATTGCTGCTTATGCTCTCCCGACGTCGACGCTCTCTATATGCCAGCGTCTCATACGCATCAGCCGCACTCTGGGGTCCAATCGACACCGACCGTCCCCTTGTCGTGGGGTGGCGGATACTCTCGACCATCCGAGGAATGTCATATGGGGAAGGAAACAATGTGTCAATCTTCGAGCCTGCGGGCACTGACTTGTACTTGCTCGCAGGGGTGAAGAATCGTCGAGGCAGCGTCCAGCCCGTGCTCTCGATAGCTCGGTAGAAATGAGGCAGCGTCTTAAGCAATGTCGGCTTCATGGTCTCTCGCCAGGCAAATACAATCAGCACGCCGAGCACGATCCGAGCAACATTAATGACCAAACCAAGAGGAGCAACATTAACAGTGTTGTCAGCATGGGCATGTGTCTCCCACGGGTCTCCGGGGATGCGGCCATACGTCCAAGTGCCGAACTCGAGCCCGATTAGAACGCCAGCAAAGGCAACACTGTCGTCGAAGCAAGGACAGTCATCGGCGGGTTCTGGGTGGATTCGTACCATGACGAGAATAATGATTGCAGCAACGAGGGGGGCAGCCCATGAGCTTGTGTACATGTATTCATCCAATCCAGGGCCATAGTAGAATTCAACCAAGGAGATCGCCACACCCATGATTGACCCGACAATCACATCTAGGAATCCGTGCATGCCACAGTACAAACGGCCGAATACAATGGAAACAGCGTAGAAGTAGGACAGGAGCTCCAGGACAATCTTCGTGGTGGGGTGAAGTGTGTTTTCGGGACTTCGTAGAAGCAACACGCCGTATACCACAACTGATACTGCATTGGTACTATGCGTCGAAGGGAAACCGTATTCCAGAGCCGCAGAACCAGACATTGTAATGCGATTGAGAGGGGGTGACAGAGGCCGAGGCAACGAGAGGAAGTCTTTGAGGAAGCCCGTCCAAAAGACGCCGAGCGCAAGGATATGCACCAGTCTATGTATAATCGTTTGCGATTAGCCTTGGTCTCCTCACCGTGAACAAGGATCCTGTTCTCTCTCCCGCCGAAGGGGTGCAACTTTCGGTGGTAGCCACGAGCTGGCAGTCGAGGATACAACTTACCCTTTGCCAAAAGCTGGGTAACCACACCAGAACAGAATCGGCAGTCCAATCATGAAGAAGGTGTGTGTACCCAGGTTCGCAGTAATGGCGAAATAGCTGTCGAGCGCGGGCGTGCGCAGCTTGTCCTGCATCCAAGCAAGGTACGGGGTCTCCCAGCGTATCAAAGGGAGCATCTGCTGTCGCAAGGAGTACCGCCATTTGGGAAGCGCCCTCTTGTCTGTAACATCACATCAGATCAGATGGAACTGTGTAGCAGAATACGTATTCAGTCGCATACAGTGGTCATGGCTCCTCAGTCCCGCATCTGGGACATCGTTCGACGGCGAAGCATTGGGCTGGGTCTTCGCAGTATCGGCCATGGCGACGGCGTGGATGTGTGTAACCGATAGGAGAAGCAGCCGTCTTTGGTGTGTGTACCTAGGACGCGGGATTCAATCGGCGACAGAAAGCCGGCATTGGGCCACCTTGCCGGACGTGAGAGGTCGGGAATGCGTGGGGTGTTGGCGCCGCTGCGGTCGAGATGCGAAAATGGGTATCGGAGGGAATTTCTGAGTTCTCTGGGACAATAAAAGCCCGTCCAAAGCCAAAGCTGTGTATGCAGGCGACAGCGTCTACCACAGACAGGTGGGTGGGTGGGTGAGTGGTGGTGTTTTAGCTTGTGCAATGGTGGAGGGGAGGGCGCTTTTGGTGGAGGAACTGCCTCCAAGGTAGGAAGGATCCCAAGCATGTGTGGTCACCCCACTGGCATCTCAACAAAAGGTCCATGATGCGCAATCTCAGGTCAACGGCAAACTGATTGCTGTCATCCCTAACTTCTTTTCTCGTTACTCTGACTCCTAGATCATGTAGAGCCTCGGCGATACCATTAGTTCACTTCGATACCCAAGTAAACCTTGGCACTCAGGTCCTGCAGTAATTGCAATCAGTCGGTATGTGACATTTTTGGCAATTAATTTCACATTTCGCCTACTGATGAAGAAGGACTCTTGTGGATTTGAAAGCATCAATGCGATGATTGCGATCTCTAATTTGGCACTGAACCTGAGTGTACCGTGCCATAATTTGTTGCGCTACGGTTTAGAAGTAGATATATACAGAATTAAGCCAGCCCATCATGTATTCACAAGCAGCGTGGTCTAGTGGATATGAAACGCCTGCACAAGGGTGATTTTTTGTCCCGATTGAGGTCAGTGGCTTGAACCAACATTGAGTTACTCTTTTTTTAATATATATAATATACTTTTGGTTGGTGATTCTTTCTTATCATAAGCAAGTAGTACCAACTACCGTGGTTTTCTACGATTTAGGTACGCTGAGGCTTAGTGTAGCTCCCCATGCACAAAAGACACCACCCCAGCAATTCCTTAAAGACCCTTGGAGGGCAACAGATCTAAACATTATCAAATTGTGCATCAACTGATCTTCCCATACGAGAGACCTACGATAATATGTACCAGGTACGATTATACTATAGTGTGGCCAGGTCACTTGAACATGGTGTTCCCTGAGGTCTATAGGGTAGGGAAAAACAAACTTCAATCTTCCGACCACTTTCTGAACCAATTTACCTAAGGTGCTTTGCTCAAACTCAAACACCTAGATAACCACGACTAATCAATTGTTGCTAGGTAGGTAGGTACCTTAGGGATTGACCTCTGTCAATGACGATTCAGGGGCTATTTGGCTAAAATTAAAACACCCAGAGGCTCCTAAAGAAAGTATTCTGGAGATCGGAAGCATCTGCAAGTGTGTGTGGCGACGCAACACAGGCTCCGAATCCCGGACTCCCAGCCTTCAACATCCCTTTGTGAAGCATCCGGTAGACCCAATTTGTTTTCGCCGGGGCTGTTGACCCAGGATACCGATAAAACACACAAACATTGCATCAGTGCGTTGCGCCAGCAACAGGCCATCAGATCGGCTTCATGGCGCTGCCTTTGGCAGGCAAGCATTGTGCCATTGTTGGTGCCACCGGCATCATTGGCACCAGCATCGCAAAGGCCTTTGCTGGCCACGGCGCGGTCCTCACCTTGCTCAGCCGCTCCGTCCTAGAGGCCAAGCCGTCGTTTGAGATGGAGCTGCGCAAACCACCGACCAGCACGGCGGACAAACTACCTTCCGGCCACAGGTACATCAAGCTTGATGTATGCCAGCCTGACAATGTCGCAGCAGCTTTTCGTGGTCAGGAGAACAAGGTAGGTCGAACAGTCGACTTAATATGACGGGTTCGAGTTGACGGTTTGTTTCATTTCTGATAGGACCAGGCAGTTGGGCCAGTCGATATCCTGATTAACTGCGCTGGCATATCGCAAACCACCTTATTCAAGAGAACACCAGATGAAGAGATTCGTAGTGTTCTAGAAACAAACTTGCTAGCTACGATGCTAGCATGCAAGCATGCCAAAGTCCAGCCGAATGGTAACACTCTTTGGCAACACCTTGGCTGCCAGATGGAATCTGACAAGTTTGTATGCAGGCTGTATAATCAACGTATCAAGCCTCATGGCTTTGAAGGGAGCTGCCGGAGCGACAGTATATGCCGCTTCTAAAGCAGGTGTAGTAGGTAAGTGTGTTTCTTCATCATTGACGTGTATTCGTCTTTTCCTTGTCAGAGGTTCCTATGAACCAGCCAAGCAAGATACAGCAAATGCTAACTATTTGGCTCAAGGCTTTACAAGAGCCTTATGTCTCGAAATGTCTGCGCGCTCTATCCGCGTCAATGCCCTTCTCCCCGGATGGGTCGACAGCCCAATGTGGAACAGTGAGTATAGTTCCACAAACGCTCCCTTGCCCCCATATTTTGATCCCTATATTCCATGAAATGCCATACCCTTTGCGTAAAAACGTGCTAATGTACAAAAACCCTTGTAGAATTGAAGCCAGATATAAAGAAAGAATACCTCCAGGCAACTCCTTTAAAGCGAGTAGCAAGCCCTGAGGAGGTGGCTGATGCTGCAGTGTTTCTAGCAACTAATCAGTTTGCAAATAACTGTGTGCTGAATCTCGACGGCGGCTTGAGCGCCTCATAGCTCATGCAAAAGTTGCATTCTGCCGTGAAGAGCAATTGGCGACATTGTTTAGTCATCGCCAATAATGATAGCTCCACCGGCATCCTCGATGATAACAACATCGTCTGAAGAATCACCTCCCGTCTTAGCCTTCTTTAAGGGCTGGCCCCCATCATCCGTGTGCTGCCGTTTAACACCCTTTGATTGGGAATCGATCTCAAGAATTCCGTTAGACTCGCCAGCGGAATGGCCATTCGCCTCTACCGGTGGGGCTTTCTTCGGTTTCTGGGGAATCGTAGGTTGCGCAGAAGCTGATGATTTGAATTTCTCATCGTCAGGTAGAGCACTGTGATCAGTTAGTTCCGTAGGCCAAAACGCGATATCGTGGAATTAAACAAACCCTTCTTCTATATTTAGGACAACGTTGACCAAGGGTTGCTCATCATCCTCGTCGACCACAGTAAGGAAGCTACCGTCCTTGATGCCTATATCTGGTTAGTTTCGACTGAAATGATACACCGAATCCAAAGAATTTCTTACCAAGATCTACCAATTTCTTCGGTAGGTTTTCTGTCTCATCTGGATCATATAAAACTCCGACCTCGTTATTCAAAACAAACTCCTTTTCACCGAAACCCAGGTGGGTTCTTAGCAAGCCCTCCACGATGTCGTTCAGCGTTGTTTGTGCAGGATCAACCGTAACGGTAGCATTGAACACCCCACACACAGGACAGTCGGGATTTGGCTCACGAGCCCGATCAGGTGCCATCAGTCTGGCAGAGCCAAAAGGAGTGAGGAATACCTGGAGTCAATGTTAGTGAGGCACCTCATATAGGATGGCTTTGGGGCTGTTACCTCTTTTGCCTGTGAATAATCTCCCTTGAGAACTTTGTAAGACTGCAAGACGCAGAGACCAGCCACGATGGCGTTAGTGGTAGCAATTGCCGGAATGATGTTTCCAGCCATCTGTTTGATATCGAATCTAGACTTGCGTTCGATACCAAAGATAGAAGACCGTATATTAGCGCTTGAGGCTACAAAGTCAAGCGTATCGTCATCGTCCTTGTCGAAAACAATGACGGGGTCTGGCGCGGCATCATCTTTAGTCTTCTTCAGCTCAATGATACGTTTGCTTAGCCTCTCAAGGCTATCTTTGAACACGACTAAGTTCTCCTCTAAAGACCAGACTTTTTGGCCATCAGCAAGAATGGAATCCTTCGACCCCTCCAACTCATTCGTTTTGGCCAGAAGCTTCTCGTATTTAAGAGGCTCAGGTGCGCGCTTTGATTTCCACATGTCTTCGACTGAGCGCAATCGCTCAATGTCGGCATCAAAGACCTTTTCGAAAAGCAATTTCGGGAAGTCGGGCGCACCAACAGCATTGCGGATTTTCTTTAGAGCATCTGACTCTTTCTTCAGCTCCTCGATTTCATGAGCTATAAATTGGTTAGCTCTTGTGAATTGTCTCGCCCCCAGAGATCAACGTAGACTTGCCATTCTCCTGATCCTGTGAGTGGTCAAGAACCGATTGGTCCTCACTCGTACCGAACATTTCACTGGGAATCTATTAGCCGGGGCGCACAACGATTTCCTGTATCAACACGTACTTCAGGAGGTAGCTTTTGCCCCATACGATGCAATGGATGGGCTGGCTAGGGGTACTCCGAATCGTGCAAACGGGGAATGACTTGGGCGTTTCTTTTGGCGTGCAATCATAACAGGCAGTAACGCCCTTCTTGATCACTTGGACCTGACCATTGAATCCTGTGGTACCACTCTCAATCAGAGGAATATCCGCCGCCAGACACATTTTATTGACATGTCTTCTCGCTTCAAGATTGTCCAGGGCGTTGAAGACTAGTTTGAAATCCCGAAACCACGAGACCGTGAATTGCGCATCCTTGATATTCGCATGGTGCGCGACAATCTGAACGTTGGGGTTGAACCTTTGCGCTGCGTCCTTGGCAACCTATAAATTATTAGAACGTAGTCTCGCAGGTGGAAAAGCGCAGGTTTCGATTTACCAAGGCCTTGGATTTTTTTATGTGCTCTTGCCTAAACAAGAACTGTCGGTTCAAGTTCGAAAGATCGATCGTATCCAGGTCGACGATGTGGATTTCGCCAAAGCCGCTAAGTACGAGGTTTTTGAGAAGTTCGCATCCAATTCCGCCAGCGCCAACCATGAGCACGCGCGCCTATAATTTTCCAAACGTCAGTAACAACTCCGACCATCCTGCCTTCATTCTCGAGGTGTTGTTTTCTCGGCGGGTCGAATCTTTTCGGGGGTATTGCGCGCATTTACGTCGGTGGTTGTTGGTCGGTAGGGGGAGTGCAGCACTCGGTGACGTACCTGCTTCACGGTAGAGTTCAACGAGGGTCCCAAAGACTGATGGTTGAATCTATCGCGCCGGGGAATCTGTGATCGGGCGCCGTGTGTGACATTGGGATTCGATCTTTGCGGATTTTCGTGATTCTCTTGTTGCTCCGGCTGTTGCTGAGAAGGATCGGAAGTTCCATTCTCAGTGGTAGGCGCGGTTTGCGCAGCTGAGCTTGGTGGCTCCTCCATCGCGGTCATAGCCGCTCAAAGAAACTTTCGGGCGAGTTGGCGGTTTTATCTGTGGGTTTATGGGTATATTTTCGTGGGTCGACCATGTGATGGCGAGATGGAATGCCGGGTGAGAAGCAGCTGATTTATGCCTGCTCTTGCGAGGATGGTTTGTTGCTTGGGTGAAGTTGCGACGAGTTGCACGACTCAGGAACCACCTTTCGTCGCCTTGGCCAATGACGGAAGGCGGGCTTTAGCAGGGGCTCTAGCAGGGGGCATTAGCGTCCAGATGCCCCTGTGGTGATTGGCCGCCGCACCTGGTCCGGGGCGTCAAGATGCACTGATGGGGGGCGCCTCTCAGTTGCTGTTCAGTCCTGGAGCCTTCTATGATGCGCGCCAAGTTTGGGTACTATGGGCGCTAACTGAGGCACCATGCCTGACAAACAAATGAGTTTGTTTAGCGGGCAGTCTCATATGGATGAGAAAAAGGAAAACGAGAGTCAAACGGACAATCAAATGGCAATGCCTGCTTATTCTCTTTCTTCAATGTTCAGTTTCTTGGCTTGCCTTAAGAATAGTGGATAGATGCAACCCTCAAGCCAAAATTCCCCCATTTAATTGAGAATGCTACCCTACAGGTGTATTCTTTTTATGTGGATTCTGGGACGCTCCCCTGAAAGCACCGGTAGCAATCAGTTCACTTGAATTGGAACATGTTAAAAAAAGTAAAGAAAGAAATGAGACTTGGAAAATTATGGTGGCGCCCAATTAAGTCAATTGTCTTTGTTGAAGATGTGATTTATGAGAAAGGAGGTGCTGACTCGCAGAACAGCGTATCCTAATAAAATTATGATTGGAAATCTCTTTCCCGCGGTGTGACTCTTCCAAGTTTCAACTACCAAACCAAACACCTCTTACTCCCAAAACCGCCCCTTTAACTCATTTGCGGCCAGACTGACCAAGACATCGGAAAAGCTTACTTTTCCCACTAAATATTGGTATCTAGCAGACGGCACAAACCCATTAGGAGTGTGAAAGATAGCCCAAAGCCTCCAATACGGGCAGGGGAGAGGGACAGATAGGGGAAACAAGATTCGACAAAATGTCGGACGATGAGGCAGACCCTGAGCTCGTAGAGCTTCTGCGCCAGCATTTCCAGGGCAAACTAGACATAAAGCAAGAATCCGAGACTGGCGTTCTCGAAGATTGCGAGTATGTTTTCGACAGCAGTATCGATATTGCCATTGACATGCGACATTGCAAGAAGGCCGCGGAAGAGATTTACACGCAGATGCAGAAAAAGGACTACTCGACAAGCACCTGGTCGGAGCATGAGCTTCATCCCAAAGCCAAGGATGAAGCCACTGTGAACTTCATCTTCACCATGGATCTTCTGAACTTCTCCTTTTGGTCTGAACTGCCCGATAAGGAGAGGTTCGCCATCGAATACAAGGGAAAGCGCTGGACAGGTTACTGGAGCCTTGTGGCCGCTCTTCAGAGAGCTCTGGATGAGGGTTCGTTGAGATGAACACATCAACCTAGCACTGCAGGATTTGTCTAACATTGGCTTCTAGGGATTGCGATCACCAGTCCCCAGTACTGGCAAGACGAGGAAAAATGCAACCTGGATTCATTACGCCACGTATTCCGCTCGTGTACCGAGGAGGAAATGCCGCTGCTCAAAGAGCGTTTGGATTGTCTCAGAGAGGCTGCCCAAGTTCTTGAGGAGGTATGGAGAGGCCCAAGTGTCACTCTCAGTTGTTCAATGGATTCTGTACTCACATGAAAGTCTTCTAGTATTACGATTCATCAGTTGTCAACCTTATTGAAGAAGCAGATGGTTCTGCTGCAAGTCTCGTCAACATCCTCGCCAGGGATTTCGACTGTTTCCGTGACGAGCATCCCTTCAAGGATCGGGAGAAGCCCATTCGCTTCCTCAAACGCGCGCAGATTCTCGTTGCTGACCTATGGGCCTGTTTTGATGGCAAGTCCTACGGAGAATTTGACGACATCGATAAGATTACCATGTTCGCGGACTATCGGATTCCTCAAGTTCTCATCTCCATGAACGCCCTGTATTGCAGCCCAGTTGTCGCATCAGCCATCCGAGACAAGCAGATGCTGACAAATGGGAGTTCGTGGGAGATGCAGTTGCGAGGTAAGTTTGGTTCCATCCCCTACATGCACGAGCTCATCAATTCTCACACTGTTATAGCATGCAGCATCTGGTGCGTTGAGCTCATCCGGAGAGAGATCAAGAGAAACCACCCGAAAGCGCACATTAATGCTATCTTGATTGACTTCTTTTTGTACGACAAGATGAAGGAGTTGGAGGAAGCCGGGGAAGAGCCGATTCCGCATCATCGGACTAGAAGCATTTGGTACTAGATAAGAGCATTGAGAAGGGCGACCTTCGTGCTTTCAACAACAATAGATTAACTAGACACCTAGAAAAATAGAGCGTCATCCCATTACGTCTATTCTAGAGAAAGTGCGCCTTGTAGGTATTGACCAACGACTAAATAGGACTTCAAATACCTCCCAAAATAAATAGAAAGAAATTCACACAGTTACTCCATCCCAATCATTCCTAGATAAAAGAAACTCGCTCATGATTCCGCAGTTTGATTCAAGATCACATCCAGTTGGGCAGTCATAATATCGCCGCCATCTTGGTTCTCTCCGACAAGTACAGCTAAGACCTCAATGGGAGGATTCAGACCCAACCTCTCAGCACGGTCCCATCGCTTACGGCGAGCAATACCGATACATGGCTGGACTTTATGTTAGCTTTGGAATATCGACTGATGATCCGATGCCATTTCTTACCCCGTACTGTGAGCTCACATCGAAGTACCGGAGTACCTTTTCATTGGTGCTCAAATCTTTCTGATGTACTCTAGGAGCAATGCGCTTTGCCTCAATTCCCTTCCAGTAAGCTTCGATCTGCTTCTTAGTGATCTTCTCAGCCTTGAGTTCGACCTCGGACTTTTCTGGGACTTCAATTTCTGGCTCTTCCTCAACCTCGGCCTCAGGTTCAGCTGCCAAGACATCCTCTGCTGGCTTTTCAATTACATCGCCCTTCTCCGACGACTCAATCTTAGCAACGGGCGGTGAGATGATGGCCTTCTTTGTGTCGTTGACTACATTCTTGGTGATCCTGTTGGCGAAGCTGATGGTGGATTGCCCTTTGATCGGCACCGTGCGGCCTCTGTTGCTGGCAGTTGACCTCTTTGTGGTTGGCATGATGATCGATTTGAATAAGTTGCTGCTATGGATAATTGAGTGATTAGGATAAGAAGCGCTTGGATTGGCCAACAATTCAAGATGGTGGACACCGAGGGCACTGTTGTCAAAGTTGATGTAACTCACGGGGTCCCCTGGTTATGGATGACATTTGGGGGCATGACGACAGGGAGGGTTTGGCTGGGCAACGCGAGCCTGGAGCGGCGTCACGTGACCACCAAACTAATAGCTTGGTGCAAAGCCGTTCACCATGGGTTCAAAGACTACCAAAATGTTCGGTACATGCATTCATTATATTTTCTAGTCGCTTGTGCTAGTTTTGGGGTCTATCATCTCTGCGTAGGTAATGGAAAATCTAGCCTCCTGTAGCTTCACGATAGAACGAGAGGCTTCTGTTGGCCCCCGCGGTGCAGAACATCTCACTCTTGCCCGTTTTCGGGAGCCACTTCGCCGTCCAGAGTGCCTTGTCTGTTTCGCTGTGAGTAGCGACGCATGCACTTCGTTCGATAGACCACACTTTGACCTTGCCATCCATCGATCCACTGAGCAAGAACTCACCAGAGTCACTCCAGTCCACAGAGGTAATCCATGAGGTATGGCCTGTCAGGTTTGCCACATGCTCTCCGTGCTTCATATCGTAAAGGGCGATGATTCCTGAGTCACCTGCCGCGGCAAGTCTGCTATTGCCGGGCGAGAAGGCAACTGAGCGCACGGGCTTGGCAAGACCTAGAGATGAGTTAGTCAATAAGGACGGCTGATCCGGGGAGTAGTTTGCTGAACGAACTCACCAGAAAGGGAAAAAAGAATCCGCCCTGTCTCGTTGTTGAAAATATAGACGGATCCATTTTGATGCCCACTGGCAGTAAACTTCCCATCTCGGCTGAGATCAACGCTCAATCCAAAGCTGCCAGAGCCTGGGCTCCCAGTTTCGTACTCCTGTATCTTGGCCTTTGACTCGCCAGATAGGTTCCAAACGTTGACTCGCCCATCGTAGGTAGTAGTGGCAAGATAGGTGCCGTCATCACTAAGGGCCAGAGCCCAGACTTCACCAGGCTTATTTGACGACCCTTGAATTTCGCCTCCTGAGGACCATTCGCCAGTTTCTTGAGTGAGATTCCATATCTTCACTTCTCCACCAAACCCAGCGCTGGCTGCAACGCGGCCATTTCGGGAGGTGCAGATGTGGTGGCAGCCTAGCTTGTGGGCATCTGAGATGGATTGCTTGAGAGGGAATGCGGGGTCAGTGGTATCGTGAATATGAATAGTTGACGATCCGCTGGCAGACAGCACAGCACGCGGCGTTGACGCGATAGAGAAAATGTCCGTTATATGTGCTGCAATCGTCAGCTTACTGGTGGTTGCGATGCCATAGAATGATGCCGCGGGGTAGTGTTGACTCACCATTATCCACGGAATGCGTGGTTAGGTATTGTTTAGACTAATGATAGAATCAGTAGGATGAACGCCTGAAATCGGAGGTGTGGTTTATTTTACCATGGTTTATTCCCCCATCTCTCGGTGTTGGTTGATCTTTTGGTTGTTTGTGAGAGGAAACTGTGAGATGAAGCGGGGCGCGTGGGAGCCTCATTGTTCGTACCTATGTCCAGTTCATGCTTGCCACTTAGCGGCACCGACTCTGGTGTCCCAGCACCACACAACTCCCTCGAAACTGCTGCTTTTTCTAGACGCATAAGAAAACCGTTCGTTCTTAAACCACTGCGGACCTGTCAGTTTTTTTTACTTTCATTAGGTACGAAAAAGCGAACAGCAATAAGCGTTTGTCTGTAGCCACACAACTCTTTTGTTCCATCCAGAGAGAAAATACGGCATAGACCTTAAGTGAGAAGAACACGATGCGTTGTATACGTATTTATATTTGACAATATTGTTACAATTAAATTGATTTTGAGCCCCTAACGCCAGCTGCATGCATACTCCCAAGACTTGTACAAGGTTTCGGTACAGAGGGGCAATCATGATATAGTACAACATCATCTCATGTCTAATTCCCTAGATCGATTTGTCGTTGGGGTAATCCTCACGCCATATCCTTCTCATCTCTGTGAAGTAGTTAGTGGCTATGCATCCAGATGTGCATTCCCAGGCGCTGCTTACCTTGTAGGCAGTTTTCACATAAGCGGTGCGTCCTCTTGACAGCGCCACATCCCGGGCACTTGCACAAGTGATTCACATCCTTCAATGCCTTTCCAGCCATCTGCCTGTGCCTCTTTCGAGAGTGGGACGTCTTGTTTTTGGGCACGGCCTTCAGAATTCCTCCCCAGATATCTTGCAGCAGTCCGGGAATGCTGATGCTGAGACCTGGAATTGCGATCGCGAGCGAATTGAGGAAGCGTGGAGCAGCCTGGCTGCCAGAAAAGAATGACCAGCCTATCACCGAGGACATGGTGGGAAGTGCATGTCGAGGAAGTAGAGCGGCAGCCATTTGGACGAGTCGGAAAGGTGGGAGAAGAGATGATATCGAGGTTTGCGACTCGGGTTCGTGCTCGGCTCTCCGTCGGTACAGGGACCGGTATATGGTGCAGATTCTGTGTCGTCCTGATCTGTACGTGGTGAATTCGGCCCAGGGGCTGTGCTTCCAAGTGGTCGTAGAATTAATTGGTGTCAATGAAGGGCTTCTTTCTGAAGCTTCAAATCATCGATAGACCTCTCGTGTGACGCTGCCTCAAAAAATGTTCTGAGCTGCAGCCCACGAACGAGCCAATCATGCGGCGGCGGCGGATGGACCCGTTCTGACCAATAGCCGCGTCCCAACGGTCGGGCTAACCCCTGGGTCTCCCTTTCCCCCTTTCTTGGTCCCTGCACCTGCCACCCAGCATGGAAATTATTGCTGGAGGGAGGTGGAAGACCAATAGCGAGCGACAGCTGGGCAGCCAGGAAAGTTCCCGTCCTCTCCTTTGGTGCGCCCAAGGAATCTGTCACCTCCCCATTCAATCCTTCAGTCCTCGACCACAGCTTGCCCTCAACACGGCACCGCAGAAGCAGGAATACGAGCGTGTATCCTTGATCTGAGATACTCTCTCCGCATTTTTTTTTTCTTGGAATAAGAAAAAATCCAGTCCCGTTACTCGTCTCATCACCGCTACGAGCTTCCGCACCACTACCTGCAAAGATGGCAACTGTTCCCCCTACCACCATTTACCCCAATGGCCATGTCGGTTTCGACAGCATTACCTCCCAGATTGAGCGCAAGCTCTTGAAGCGCGGTTTCCAATTCAATGTCATCTGCGTTGGTATGTTTGACGCGTCCTCCGAGCTCCTATTGAATCCCCAGCTGGAGCTTTTACTACCCACCTTTGAGCAATCTGCTGATCTCGTTTCCAATATCCAGGCCAGACCGGTCTCGGTAAATCGACCTTGATCAACACCATCTTCGCCTCTCACCTTATCGACTCCAAGGGCCGCATGCAGCCCGAGGAGCCCATTCGTCAGACCACCGAAATCCAGGCTGTTTCCCACATCATTGAGGAGAACGGAGTTCGCCTGAGGCTCAACATTGTCGACACCCCTGGCTACGGAGACCTCGTCAACAACGATCGTTGCTGGGACCCTATCGTCAAGTATATCAAGGATCAGCACTCCGCGTACTTGCGAAAGGAACTCACGGCGCAACGAGAGAAGTACATTCAGGACACCCGTATCCACTGCTGCCTCTTCTTCATTCAGGCTTCCGGCCACTCGCTTAAGCCTATCGATATTGTCGTATTGAAGAAGCTTTCCGACGTTGTCAATGTCGTTCCCGTCATCGCCAAGGCCGACACCCTGACTGTTCAGGAGCGTCTGGAGTTCAAGGAGCGCATCAAGGAGGAGTTCGCTTTCCACAACCTCAAGATGTTCCCTTACGACAGCGATGAGTTTGACGACGAGGAGCGCGCCACAAACGAGAAGATCAAGGTAGGCCACAGGGATTTCACCTAATTCGGAGATGTAGTTGCTAATAGTGAAGCAGAGCCACGTTCCCTTCGCCGTTGTCGGATCTGAGAAGAGCATCATTGTCGATGGCAAGCAAGTTCGCGGTCGCCAGAACCGATGGGGTGTGATCAACGTCGAGGATGAGAACCACTGCGAATTCGTCTACCTCCGCAACTTCCTCCTCCGCACACATCTCCAGGACCTCATTGAGACGACCTCGCAGACTCATTATGAGACTTTCCGTGCCAAGCAGCTTCTGGCTCTCAAGGAAAGCAACACACACACCGGTGGAGCCAGCAGCCGACCCATCAGCCCTTCTGCTGATCGCGAACTAAGCCGCAACTCCCACAGAATGACCATGAACGGTTACTAAGCCAGCTCTGGCATCTAATGTTGTGTGTAATGGGGAAGGACCGGAAGGGGTCAACTGATAGCGAAGCGATCCATGACATTTCACGGCCCCTGACTATTTATAGATTGCTGCTGCATTTTTTGTCCAGCTTTGATCAGTGCAATGCGAAGGAGTTTCTACGCCCTCCCTACAAATAGTAGGTGGGCAGGGTAGCGCCGACGCAGGCCACGAGAAAAATTATATTGAAGAGAAAGGAGAACGGGATGTGGTTTGACAGATGTGTGTATCTCGTCGGCCCGTGCTTCTTCGGTTTTGGCGTTCCATGTTTCTTTACTCGAAAGATTTATTCACCTGGACGCCTCCGAACAGGAGTTCTTTGCTTTGTCTTTAGTATCACCCCTAGTCAATTTTTGTTGTTTCTTACGCTTAATCTCATCAACTTCCATGGTCTAATATAGTGTCATATTATCTTACGAAATTGAGGAATCCTACTGTGATGCGCATGATGATGAGCCTTTTAGCTTGGATTAAGTCTAGACACCACCGTTGAAGGGACAAATTTCCCATATCCGCGCAAGTCATGTCACATCTTGGTACCTGAAGTCGCTTCAGAATTGCAAGAGGTTCCGAGTGCGCTACGGAATGATATCGCCCATTTGATATGCGCCGTCGGGAAATTAGTACGTGGGGCCGCATAATTGCATCCTAACACTCTGTATCACCGCTTGTTTGAAGGCAAAGGACGTCCCTCACAGCGTGCAGAACTCTACATGCAAACCCCTACAACGATTGGTTGGAGGCATGCCAGGGACGACTACAGAGATAAAGTTCCATGCTTCGTTGGTAGGGAGATTTTAGGGATGATGATAGGGATGAGCTTGATAACGAGCATGGCTGGGTTGGCGAGGCTGGGATACCTTCTCAGTTGGACGGACTCGGCGAAAGGCAGATCAAAAGGCAATCGGGACAAGGGCCGTCCTTTGCGATCAAACCCAGACAATAGCTACGGCCAGGCCAAAGAAATAAAATCCCAGCGGTGAGTCTGTGTCAGTCGGCGCATGTGTCCCGCAAGGCTGTTGAGGTTCAACAGTGGAGCACCAGCGGTGTGGCGGTGCTTTCCGAGCCGCGGGGATGACCTCGAGCTTAATCGTGCTAGGGCGCCGACTTCGAATGTGGCTTGTCTGGGATTCAAGAAATTGGGTTCTGAGAGCCGTTTCGAGACTGCAGATGCAATGCAGAGACGAAGCAAATGCCGATGGCGAAGATAATGTAACACCCCTGGGTTGGAAAGTCTTGGCAGGAGGCCGCCACGCCGAGCTAGACGGTCTTGTGGCCGGGAAAGACCACACCAGAGGACCCTCGCCGTCCCTGGGGCGAAAAGGGTCAGGGCAGCTTGCTACACCGAGATTAAACCATGTGCTATCATGACTATCTTCATTTCGGTCTACCAAGGTGATATCCCTCTGTCGTATCTGGTCGATGCGGCTCTGGGCAATGGCATTGTTCCCGCAGTAGGAGCAGCTCCGGGGCCAAACAGGAAGTCAGCAGGAATACTACTATGTAATTATGATGTACCTGCGTTTGATGGATTATGCATGGGTCGTCCCACGGCAGCCCCGTCAATTCCAAAGGCAGTGGAACGGTCTTGGCGGCGGCACTGACAGCAGAGAGATACGAGCTTCCACACAGGCTTCAAATTGCTCCTCTGAGGGCCACCGGAGACAAGTGCAGGACCTAGCCTGGTCCCGTGATGCGACTCGTTCATTCCTCGAGGCCCATATTGCTCTGATGGGCTACTGCGTCTTGGTCTGTTAAGTGCCTGGGTTATGATTCGCAAGGCTGGCCAGGTGCTTAATTATAAGCAGATAGTCAAGATTGAAGCCAAGTGGGCCGAAGCCGTTGTAATGAAGGGTTGTCTTGGTGCCAATCAGGGACTCATTCAGAGACACGGCCGGCTCAGTGCCTGCCCTCTCATACAAGGCTTCCCTCCCCTCCCCCGTGCTGTAGTGCATTTCCTGCGGGCAGCAAAGAGGAAGGGCATGAATGGCAGCAGGCTCTAGAGTATCAGCGCAGTCTCATCATGCTTATTGCCTCGGACAGGCACCCACCTCAACTAGAAACAGACGAACAGGGGCGCTACAGGGGTGGCAGTTGCC